GACAAGTAGGCAGAAACAAAAAAGAGGAGAGACATGTAGAAGACAAAGAATGACAGGGAGAAGAGGGACCTTGTTCAGATCAGCCTTAAACACTAGATTCTAGTGAAGTATCCAAGCTTTGTTTAAGAGCTCATGCATTCCGGAAACTCTGATTTCCTTCATAAAGAATCCATAGGTTAAAAACCTTGTCTCCTGGCTAGTGATGCATTTTTTGAACAGAGAACTTGATTCCCATGCGTTTTGGAGCATCCAGATGTGTAGGAAGAGAGATTTAGCTCTGGGTTTTATTCTGTTTTATTTAGGACACAGGTTTACCTTTTCTTGTGAGCCTGTTAGGTACTTAGGATAGGATTATTTAGGATTCTGAATACTGAGTTAGCAGTCTGGGTTTTTCTGGTTGGTCAAGACATAGTTCTCTTGTAAGTATATGTAAATATGTAAATAGAGAAACTTGTGTGTAAATCTGTATTGTGTTGTTTTGTATTGAGTGTTGTTTACTTTGTGTTACTGTCATTGTTAATAAATGTTTTTTTATCCCAGTTTGCCTTTAATTTATTGCTATTTTGTCAGAGCTGAGCTTGCGTAGTTTGTATGTTCTCCCCGTTTCTCCAGGGTGCTCCAGTTTCCTCTAAAGACATACCGGTTGCTTAATGAGCTTTTGTAAAAATTGGCCTTTGTGTGAATGTGTCCATGTTTGTGTCTGTGTGTGCCCTGCGATTCATCCGGGATGAATCCTGCCTTGCGCCTGATGCTTGCCAGGTTAGATACCTGTGTTCTCTATGACCCTGTATTGGATAAAACAGTTAGAAAATGGATAGACGGAATTCAGGATCTTGGATGCAGTAGGGCACTGCTTACTATAAAATCTACAGTTGATTGAGATTCACTCAGTGAAACAGGTGTTAGGTGACACTGGTTTATCTACCTGCTACAGGAGCAGAATGATCTTTAAATGTGGTAGCCTGAGGAGATGGTAAGATGCAGGTGTTGGCAAGGAGAGAGCTTTATTAACTAAGCCATAGATCTGAGAAGTACATTTACACTCTTAAGTTTATTTCAATGCAACCCCACCAGAATTCAACATACAAATTTAAATGCAAAGTGTGTTGTGTTTGTTTTCGCGAATAGTCTAATACACGCATTTTCATGAACTAAACTGGGAAGGCGAGTAAAAAAAAAAATCACCTGGGTTTAGGTAAAATCCTAAAAGGAAATGCAAAAGCACCAATCTTAAAAAAAATGAGTTTTTTAACAACTGTATATGTCATGTGACCTTGTTCAAAGCCATTCTGTTTTGCGAAATAGACGCTGAATAGAAACAATGCTGTACGAATCATATATTTTTGATACCGGTGCATGGATCCAAACCTTGAGGAGGAGAAAGAGAGTTGTAGTAATTGGGGTATTATGACTGTAGACTGGCATGATAAACGGCACAACCGTGTTCAGGTTGTTGAGCGAAATTGACCTGCATTGTTCACTCAGAGTGACAGCAGCCAGGTTCCAGCCCCTTTGTCCTCTTCAATAAAGCCTGTATACGGAGCCTAGAAGACAGGTAGTTTATCACTGCTGTGGTGGCACAGGGAAAAGGGCAGCCATGCGTTCCTTTCATAGCTTAATGAGAAAATAATGGCAGCTTTTCCACACAGGCACATACATACACACTATATGCAATATACTGTACATGCTGTACTGTAGTATTTTGGACCCAGAGATTATTGGAACAAGTGCTAAGACTGCAACATGTACTCTAACAATGGCATTCGCCAACCCCCGTAATCTCTTGCTGCATCGCCATGTTGCTTGTTTATCCATTCATCCATTTTCTAACCACATTATCCGCTACAGTTTTGCAGCCGAGCCAGAGCAATGTGCACAAAGCAGGGTACACCCTGAACGGGATGCCAGTCCATCTGAGGACACGCAGACACATTCACACAAGAGCCAATTTTCACAGAAACTAATTAACCTACCAGCATGTTTTTGGACTGTAGAAAGAAACCTACATGAACACAGGGACAACGTACAAACTCCACTCAAATAGCACCGCAGGAATTGAACCCGAGGCAACAATGCCAACCACGGCATCACCGTGCCACATCGTTTTCTGTCAAACTAAAGAACATGGTATAAAAAAGAGATGCAATTTCAGCCATTGTGCTTTTCAAGTGACTGGTAATGTGTGAACCTAAGGGCTGTGCAATTTCCATGCTAGGAAAATACCAAATCATACAAATAACATGACTTGACAGTTGTTGAACTTTTTTCTTTTCCTTTGCATACTGGCCACTCGTAGCCCACTACCTCATTTTCACTTTGTGCTAATCTAAAACCTCTCAATTTATTTGTATATCCATAGTTACCTTTTAATTAGCAATCCTCTGTCTCTCTCTTGGCCCCATGTAGAATGTCTAACAGAACAAAGTGTTAGTTTAGAACATTGTAATAGCGATGTCACAAGGTGTAGGTAGGCATTGCAGATCAGTGCAGGTGTGAGGATGCTGAGGTCTGGTGTGATAGACAGATTGATACAGAGAAATTGTGCAGGTTTGACGTTATTGTCTCAACCTAAGAATCATGGGTAGTGCTTTAATGTAGAAGGGACAAATCACACTTTATGAGTGCATAAACAATATAGTTGTTCAAAGTAAACAGTTCACGTATAAAGTATTTGCAAATGACAAATGTCTGGCTTCAGTTAATACCGATTAGTTATCAGTAAACTGCTACTCAGTTATTAGCATGGTATTAATATTGTCTTCATGTAATGTGGTTTAAAAGGGGGTATGTAAATGAATTTACTGTTTGTCATTATGTGTCTGTTTTAGATATCTGTTTTAACTCATTTTTAATTTATAATTTGGTTCCAGTAGCGAAAATGACCTTGCACATCTTTTCTGTGCTTACATTCTAACATTTGAATGCCATGTCAGATGTTTAATTAAAAGTGTGTAAATGATTCAATTAAAGAATAAAATGTAGGTGTATTATTATCCATTTACTCATCCCATTTGACTTTGCTCACTGGAATTAAAAGCAATTGGCCAGAAACACAAAGTAAATATGATTAAATTCGCTTAGTTTTTACACATCAGCCTTCAAGTTTCGCAGCTGTGTGTCCTAGAGCTGTTCTTGTTCTTGTTTTGTTAAATTCATTATTCAGATCTGATGCATTAACACTGCCTATAAACCTGATTTTCTGGAAAATTCTGTGATCCCGATCCCATGGTCTAAAAATTTTATAATTCTGTTACAAAATGAAGAGCTTATTTTATTTTTTCCACCTGCTTTTTGCATTATCTTCACTCATAACTATAAAGATTCTGCCTGAGCCCTCCATCAAAGAAGTTTCATGCTCTGAGGGTTTTAATTGTGTGAAACCATGGGCTCCTATCTCAGTGACACAGCAGTGAAATTTAATATCAAAGTGCATTTATTCACTGTTTTTAGTTTTACGATAAAATAGAAGTGCCTCCATCTTCGAAGATGTAGAACAACAGTTTTTTAAATACTATTTGTTTTGAGAGGTGTTCAGTAGAGGAGAAAAAGGAGATTTCATATACAGTAGATGCATGGGAGAAAAACAAATGTACCTCATACATCATAATGTTCCCGAAGCTCAGTGAGAGCAAGTGCTTTGATCATCAAAGGACTTCTTAGAATATTGGAGACTTTTTTTTCTGCTGAGAAAAAGGTCAATCAAGTTTAGCTCAGGTGAGTTAATAAGGAAGATTTGTAAATGGCTTTTCAAGCTTTTCTTGAACAGGTTGTTACTTCCAGTATTATAGCAGATAGTGTTGCTATCTATAGTGCTGTTATTCCCTTGGATATCAAATTATTAAAGTCATATGATTTTCTAAAAACCATAAGAATGTGGAAATGGGGTGGAGGAGGGATGCAGAAAGATGAATGTGAGCAAAAGAGAGAGACTTGCTGTGGTATTTATAGTTTTCCAGGAAGTGACATCATGGAGAATTTATGCATTAGAGCAGCAGAGGAGAAGAAGACCATTGCTGGTGTCATCCCTGCTGAACTTTTGTTAAAAATTGAATTTATAGTGAGTGCACAATTTTACAACACATCTTAATTAATGAAACTATACAATAAAAATATGGGTCCTAATTTATATATTATTTATATTTGTAAATATAAATGTATTATTTAAATTTTAAATATGTTGTGTTTCTGGTTTTAAGATATTCCTACAGTAGATATCCCCACTCTTTCATACTAATAATCTATAATACTTAAACTATTATTATGGTTGTGATTGCCCAAGTTGTAACTCAACTAACAAAATGATTGTTCTGTGTAAGGTTGTTGCGGATTGAACTGTATTCGGAGTCTAACTAGGTTCACTGTAACAGAAAATTATTTAGAGGTCATTGCTGTGCAACATAATGAAAAACTGAAAAAGGTCTCCGCAAAAGATCACAAACTCAGTACGGTGTAAACATATAATGAGGTGCTACAGGAAAGCCTGTGGTTTAAAAGCTCAATAAAAGTGAGTGGTCTGATAAAACTTCCTTGCAGCACAAAAGTCAGTCATAGAAAACAGGTTAACTGGGCAGGGGCACTTGGAGTTTAAAATGTCTGAGAAGGTAGGTCTTTTTTCTGTCCTTCTTTATTGTACAGCCTCACTGAATCAGAACCCAATAATATTACAATAAGGTAACATTTTTTTTAAATGGTCACCTCGGTGCACTCCATTTCTGTTCAGCTGATTTTTCTTCACCACTTTCACTTCATAGAACTGTAAACGGAAATTTAGCCAGCGTATGGAATTTCTACTTCAGGAATGTAGTTTGTGTTTGTAAAAATGCATACAACCTGCAATAAATACAAATGTTTAAATGTTTTAATGGCATTCCAGGATGTAGGCACGTATGCCAGTGAACATCCAGAGGTACCAGTTAAAATGCATCTCTTTTCAGGTGCAGTGTTTGGCTTCATCAACTTGTCTAGCACTTCACTGTCCACAGCAGAGTGCTGCCTTATCTATGTCCTGCATAGACAGCGTTCTGTTCCAGTACCTTAATGACACAGCGGAAGACTCTGGACAGAGAGTGTCTGGCATGAACCTGGACTCTTCCTGCTCGCCCTCCAGAGAGGAGCCAACAGTCACCCATGGGGGAGACAAAGAACTCCTAGAGTTTTCTGCATTTTGTTCCGAGCTTCAGAAGAGACATCGCGCAGATAATAACTCGCACGCAGGAGTCCTGCTCAAGAATGTGAGTAAAAGTAGTCGAGTAAGCAACCTTACTCTGAAACTCTACATTTCAAATGACAGCATGTACATGTATTAAATAAGTATGCTTTATCAGTAAAGGCTAATAATGTAATAAATGCCTAAAAATAATTTTCAGTACATAGTGGACTTGCTATTAGTGCAGTACAGTATTATTCCATTCATATCTCATCAGTGTTTTTCCATTGTTTCTGAAACTTACACCAGTGGTTTCACAGACCCCGTTTCCCACTACTCCTGAGCTCAATAATGTTAGCTTCGGGAACCAAGCCTTGAGCTATTGCTAATCAAGGTCAGGGGAACTGCCTCAGATGTTTCATACACAGTACATTTTTCCAACTTGAATTTTAAATTTTGAATTTTGAAGTTGAACTTAATCTTTCAGTATTTTAGTTCATCCACAACAGAAAAAAAATCATCTACATTACATATAGTCTGTGATTTCTGAGTTTAAATTATGTTTACGCAAATCTAAAACTGCAGTCCTGATAACAGGAATTCTACATTTTATTTTTACATTCCCTAAAGACTCTTAGCCCAGGGTTTGGCTGCTATCGAGAAAATATGCAGTGGACTTCTGGTCCAAAGCTGGGATGTGGGAAATTTGGATCTGTCTTCGAAGTGCATGACAAGAAAAGTCACTTCAAATGTGCTGTAAAAAAGGTATGTGATCAAAAAATGTGTATTACTTAAGGTCATTTTGAAATTTCATTATAAATGGTTTCCTCTGTAACACTTTCTTCAAGAGGGTGCGAATCTTGATTAATAAGTGCATAACTGCTGTTTATAATAAAGTTGCCATTAATAAAGTAGCTCTAAATGACAAATATATGTACTTAATAACCATGTAATTAAATATCAGTGTCACTTTCTTTTCAAGGTGCTGCATTCACATTCTTTTATGCGTTGTAACAGTTTTGTATGTGAATTTGCAAACCTGCACTGAACTGTTACACTTTAAGCTGAAGCATTTTTAATAGTTCTGCCACTCACACTGCTAATCTGGAGAACTGATATCCTTGGCTAAATCGTGCTTTGTACCTCTTTCCTCTTTTTCATGACTGTAAAGAAATTCTAGACATAAAAAGGAAATCTTCAAGGATCTCACTGGAAGATCAACTTTTTTGTATAAAGTAGAAACCAAAGCTAAACTACCAGCATTCAGCAGTTTTCAGATTTATACTGGGATGATGATTATTTACACTACATCTGTGTTGGGCATATGTTTGAAGTGCATTAGTGCTTCTAAGTATCGAGTTGTTTTGAGGGTTTATCCTACTTTGAAAAATTGTTTAAAGGTAACTCTAGGCCTCTCTTTGTGTTTCAGACATGGTGAAACCTCAAGTTAAACAAGTCCTCGTGCACAGTATTCACACCAAAAGTGCAACCCATTTGATTTCTTAAATCTTCCTCTGCTTCCTTATAAGGATAGTAAGAAATGTGAAACTTTGACTTCTGTAATATTTCTGAGGACGAAATATAAATTGTAGTACAGCAGTTACTAAGATGATTTTATATTGATTTTACGTTGATCTTAAAAAATTGCAAAAATCATACTTGCTTTTCAGGTGCAGTTGAAAGATTTTAAAACAGAAGAGCTAGAAATTTGGAAGGATTTAAGTGGACCATATGTTGTCGAACTTTTTGGAGCAATTTTGGAAGGCGATTTTGTGATGTTCTTTATGCAGGTTGCAAATGGTAACTAGATACATCTGACTATTCTGAATATTTTTTATACAAAATACCACACTACTGCAGCACCAACATTATTACTTTGTAGTAATTTTATGTTATAAACACAGAATCATGTAGAGACCTAAACACAAAAGTAAGACATAAGCTTGCATTTCTTTATTTTCAAATCAACTGATATTTATTTGGATATTGTTGTTGTTCACGTCTCAGAAATGAAATGCTTATACGTTGAACATGAATGCTCTTTTAATTGCTGTGAGTAATTAGCAAAGTACCCCAGAAATCAGAAACTTTAAAAGTATTTTCATATAAAAAGAATGATTATTAAATGCATAGTTATAACTGTAAGTGATGTTAATCTTGAACGAAACACCTGCAAGTCACCAGATGAAAATTCTTATCTTTTAAATTAAATGTGCCAAACTCAAGAGATATAACAAAAAAAAACAGTTTAAGATCAGACAAAGGCGGAAAACAAATTAAAAAGCCTGTATTATAATGAAATGTAGCGTTTTTTATGTTTTAATTACGATTTTTGTGAAAGACACAGAAAGAACAGCGCCCGAATGACTTGAGGAAAGAAAACTTTACAATTATTCTGTATTATATGGAAAAATAAATATAGATTTAAAATATAGATTTCTTGGTTTAAACATCCAAGTGTGTGTAGTATTCTGGATTGAAAAAAACAATTTCGTTTGATTTTCCGTAGGAGGTGAAAATCATTTGATTCACAGGTTTTCGATTATTAGGAATATGGAAACCTAACTGCTCAGTCAATTATCAATTAGAGACACCATTTTAACAAAACAGTTATTGACTTAGTCAATGAAAAAGGGAACAGAGCAGTATTAATTTTTTCAACAAATATTTTTCTTCTCCCTGCACAGGAGGATCTCTCAGTGGACTTATAAAATATGGAGGCTTGTCTGAAAATGTAGCTCTATATTATTTCAGAATGATTTTAGATGCTCTGGAGTATTTGCATAGACAAGGTATTATTCACAATGATGTCAAAGGTAAACCAGAAGCTTACGTTTAAGTTCATATACAGATTTTGTTACCTCACTGTGTGATATTGTTATTTTTGAGTAACTGCACGAATTGTTTTTGGTTAGTATAATATTAACTCAAATGTATTATTCCTGATTCACATGTATCACTTGATTCCTTTTCCTATAAAAGATACATATAAAAGATGGCCATACAATGTAGATACAATATTAACTATTGTTTATTCTATTTAATTGTGTGATTGAAAGTAATACAATATTCTTTATTCAGTAAATGCTTATCAAAAATGAATGTGAAAGAATTTTAACCACCAAAGGGCTGTGAACAATTATCTAAATGTTTTAATATGTGTCAAACTTTAATATTTTTGTCCTCTAGATGCCTTAGTGACCACACCTGTTTGTTTTCAATGTTAGGCGACAATATCCTGCTCAACGATACAACTCGGGAACTTGTTCTTTGTGATTTTTCTTTTGCTGAGAAGCTTCGTCCTGGGCAGGAGTTCATTCCGAAAGGTGAGAGTCACAATAAAAGACAAACGTGCACTAAGGTCCTAATTTTTAAAACATCTTTCCTTCGTTGAATCACTTTTGAAAGGGGATTGTGACTGGTTTAAGCTTCTAAGGCACTCACCCATGGGCCAGAGGAGTCTTGTCTGGGATTTCCCCATGACTGGAAAAGTCATGGTCATCTGAAAAAAAAGCCATGGAATACAATTATTTTTTTTTTTCACACGACGCCCGTGACTTGGACAATGAGCTGCAATGTATTGACACAGGTGGTAAAGAGAATTTCAACAAACACAGCACATTCGGGCTTGAGGTAATCTGAAGAGAGTTCCAAAGAGAAGTTAAGATTGATTAGAATGAATGATAGTGCCAAGTCACCAAAAAAATGACAAAATATGGTCATTTTCTCATAACCCCAATAAATATCAATTAATTGAAGTGTTTTTATGCAAGATTCAAAGGAATTTGATATTATACATTGTAGCGGCGAGGCTTATTAATAAGAAAGAATTAAGCGTTGGTATGCTTTCCTAAAGGAGGCCCCATCTCACCCTCCATCTCTGTGGTGCAGCCA